GCAGAATGGCAAACAGTAATGGTTCGAGCAAGGATACTGACAACAATCGGTTAAAACACTGATAGGTTTACATATAGCGTAACACGTTATTGGATGAAGGAGATTGGCTTGAGGTGGGCGATTCGTAAATCTTCTAATATTCCCAACTGCTATGAATTGTGATCACACAGAATGACAGAGAACTCGTCGGTTGGAAATAAACATCTCAATGCGGAAACATACAGCACGAAAAGCGAGCTCCTATCCATCTCCGCCCTGCAAATGAAATCGTGTTATACGTTTGACCGTACAGCACATATAGTACTCTGTGAAAGACCTTTGATGAGGCGCCAATACTTCGATATCTTACCACAGAATAGCTCCGTTTAAGGATGGTGGTCTCTCACAGCAAACACGTCTGTTTTATTCGTTACATCGGTAGAACCGACAAAACGTTGAACCTAAGAATAACCAAGCTTATCCCAAAGTGCGAGAGATTCAGCCGGACCGATCGAGCGTAAACGCCACAGATGAACCGAGATCAGAGATGCTTGCCAAATGATAGAGAGCGGTCAAAAGGTCACCCTAACCAATGCGTTCTCCGTCATGTTGCGTCTCCAAGATCAATATCACTTGCGGATATCGGGGTTTTATCGATCCGCTCCTCTGCCATGTCAATTGTATGCGTTCGAACAGATTTGACGTTATCTCCGAACCTACTTGGCCTTGACCCAATCGGTTTCAATCAGTTTCACTTGAACTAATTATAATTTTGTAATGTCGATTGTGAAAAGTTCAGTAGCATCGGTGAGCTTCGAACCCATGCATGGACCACTGAGGCTACTGAACTTTTCACAATCGACATAGAAACTTCAAATTGGCCAAACAACAATTTTGTAATGGTCACTTAATCCCCAGAGGTTACAGGTTTGCGATAAATGAGAGGGCATCAAAGGTAATGGTGATTGCCAAGTCACGTGTGAGGCAAAATGGTTGAATGTGGTTGGCGTGACGTCGCAGGTGACAATGGCTCAAGTGCATTACGCAGAACATCCTCTTGTAATGAGCCAGTAATGTAGAAGTGAATGTGACACAGTAAGTCGATAGAGGTATAGGAAGTGAAGGACGGTGCTTTGAGCTCTTTCCATAGTCACTAACAAAAGTTTGCATTTGAGTGACAAAGTGAAAATCCATGTTCTTTCTAAATACGCGGACAGATCTCATCCACACAATATTCTTTTTCCTTCTTATGGTTCAATCAATTCAAATTCACCGTTTTCTTGACGTAAGAAATATGACTGATTGAAGTGATTGATACAATAAATCCACTTACCTTGGAATCGACCTTCTACTTCAATATTTAGCAAACTTTGTATTCGTGTACACGTCCGTTCACCATAACTGATCAACCCCATGACCTTTAATTGGACCTGCTTGTTTGAAGTCATTGGATGGAGAGGAGAGGATTAAACATCTTGCAACGTTTGTCTTCTTTCTGTATAGACAAAATGAATAATTCCACCACGCTTTCTATTTTTCAGCCACTTTCATCCTTAGGAATTTATAATGACATAGAACGGGAAATGTAAAAGAGAACTCCTAGCCGTCTTGTTCTGAATGAACATGAACACCGGAAAAAGAAGATAAATTGCTAAACGAAAATTGTAAACGCTGTTGTGACACTTTTCAATTCAAACAGAATCGCGATGGAAATATGACACAGACAGACCAAAATTTAAAATGGCGTTGGCACGATACAAAACAACGAGTTCCACGAAAATATTTGGAGCGCGAAACCACGAGAGCGTTCGAATCTGAACAGTCTGCTTTCTATATGATTTACTTAGTTGAATAAATACGATGACCACTTAAATGCGGTACACAAACTGTTCCTCTACACTAAATTGAAGGCATAAAGTGTACATTAAAACTGAGTTGAGAACATCCTAGGGTTAAACGAAAGAGGCCGTTTGGCCCAAATAGCATCAACTTTCTTTGAATAATCAAAGACTGTAGCGTATGGGTCTCTGAGCATGAATAAATTGCCACCATGCTTTATCATCGTTCCGAATAAGAGGAAGGAGCAACCATTGGCTCAATTTACAAAAGAAATAGTAGAATGACAATACATTGAAGACCATCTGAGTTATGACCTATGAATTTGAGCCAGTTACCATGGATTGATGCTGGATAACAGAGGTCAGCCAATCCGATCTATTGGTAAAATTCCTGTTTTTTTTAGCTACCATTACCGAAAAATAGTGCTGCGTGATGACGTCCGCGTGGGAACAATGGCAAATAGTCAGGCCTCCAAGCAGCTGCGACTGACAGATGCTCATCACGTTGTACCAATAGTTGAAACGCGTGTGGGAGAAGCAATTAGCCGAGCGATACACACACACACGACACAATAATGTAAATGAATCGCTTTAGGAAAATGGGTCAAATTTGCTGGCAGTGGTGAAGCAGGTGTGTACACAAAGCTGTTCAATTACCTCCATGTAAACGTCACTCAGTTACTTGGATACACCATATTGGAAATTTTTTTTCAGGACAGCAATGACAGAAAGACTCTTTGCATTTATTCACATTTAAAACTGCAACATTTGTAACCAGAAGGGCGTTAAATTATGCCCTGAGGGATTTCCGGTAGAGAACAGTCAAACTGAAACTACATCTCGAGTGATGGAGTGTCAGCAAATGATCAAGAGTAATATTCACTTTTCCATCAGGAAGTATCCAATGGTAGCCGTCTTGTGTGATCGATCAGCGGTCCAAATCATTCGATCACAAATTCAGTGGTTTCACCTAGTTGTGGTTTACATTCTCCGTAAGCTAAACACACAGAAGCGTTCCAACTTCTTTTTACATGTGAAGAGAAACCATTCATAGAGTTGTGGTAGTTGTGGATTACAGCCAAAACATAATTGTCCATCAACTCTCTCTCTCTCTACATGGATTCCTACGCCTCTGAAATAGTTTTGCAGTTACTATTAGCGCATTCTTGTGCTTAAACGTCTTCACTATAACTACCGTTGCAAACCGGTTCTGCCTCATAGAGAGAAGCCACGGATGGATTTGTTGAAACTCACGTATATACACTGTCTTTGGAGTGCTATTGCTGAAATCTGCGTTCATTTCCGTGACTATTTAGAGAAATCAGTCATTGGAGATTTTGTTGTCAGCGAATGTAGAAAAGGAAAGTGGAAATGCTGCTGTTTTTGAGGAAGAAAACTATTTGGAACCAGGTTCCTTTTCACGAGCTTGTTGTCACCATAGGGACAACCGAATTTCATCTAACACAGGTCATATAAATCATTGGTTGCCTTGTTTGATGCTTGAGTACAGAAATCATACTACCATAGGTAATTAATTGTTAACTACTCAAACACGAGAAAATGATAGTTTTATTAAGCTACCATTTACAAAATAATTGTTCTTAATTAGCATATCATCCCAAATGTCAGTGGAACCACTTTGTAATGACAGACAAAAAGCACTGTACGAATCGCAAGTAAAGTTATCCAAATAACACTTCTAGATGCCCAAATATGATTTCAAGTTTTCCGAGCATATTTTCGGGCTATTTCGTTGACCTCATTGGAGATGCCAAACTCAAGTAGATAATCAGAAAACTTGAAATCACTCTCGGAGGACTCGGAATGCTGCTTGTACAACTGGATATGTTCTTCGGACACCGCAAGTTCCAACACATATGGATGACTGCCTTCATCCCGCTTGAGTGAAACTGCAGAAGGTATATTTTGTTGATAAACGAATAGGCCAACATATTCTGTTAAAATACCTGTTTTGACCGGAATAAACTATCTGTGTATGTATTAGAAAGATTGGACTGCTGTGCTGATCTGTATTAAGTATTTTCTAGTCCGAGCTGGAACCTTCGAACTACTGCAAATTTGGTTGTGAGACCAATAGTTGTACCTCTTCAAACGGTGATACTGAAGCAGTTGGACTGTCGCATACAGAGAGATAAAGTTCGGAATGAAATCACATGTTTGTTGCTCAGTCATGTGAGTGAAAACAATTTCTAACAGCATCAATTCCGAATACATGTAAGAGAAATACCCGCAGTTACAAAAAGGGGGTGCAAGTTACATTAAATCACACGTAAGCGCATCCATGAGATCTGCCATTGCCGTAACATTTCAAAACGCATTATTGATCGGCTTACTGAGCCATCTGACAACTCCCACCTCCCTCCAACGACGCCGTTACCGTTTATATATCTCGACGTTTTGCGGATATTGATTAATACTGACCTATTTCATACAATCATTTAATGAACGGTTACTCGATTCGATAAGCATCATTCATTATTTGAATCGCTCTTTTTTCGTATGCGTTCTTTTTGTGAGCACCGGTTCACTTTGATCGAACGTTTTTCTTAGTACATTCAATTTTCCGCTGTGACGGTCAATTCGCATTCATTTTGTGACCATGTCACAACAAGAAACCGACCCAAATTCTTATTTCACGTCTAGCAAGAATTCACACCAAAATCACCGTGTATTTGCTTAATTCATCAAACGTTCTCAAATCATTGAACATTGATCTTGTTTTCATTTCGTGATAAGGTGCTCCAAGCTTCCACATACCTTCCCGTTTAAGCTGCTAGTCATCACTCAACATCGGGTTCCTTGTCGCCATTAACACGCAATTCGTGATCAAGATCAACATCGAAAGCCAAGCACGCAGCAACCATTGATTTTGTTCAACGAGAATAATTCTGAATAAAAGCAGGTCAGTTATGAAATCGAAACCAATTGTTGATATTGATCTCAGTTTTCGTCTAACGAGTTAAACATAGTCGGTTTCCGCCGGCTATGTCGTGTGAATATACGCTCAAAGCGATAGTTGGTCAGGAGCGTTCTGAAAACCATCACCGTCATCATAACAGCCTCGAGGGTGAGAGAACACGAAGGCAACGAATAGATCTCCATCAGTGATACGACACGATGAAATTGGATTATGAATAATGTCAGAATAAACCAAGAGGCAGTTCACATCGGTCTATAGTCTTCGTTATTGAGGGCAGAGGGCAGGGTACCCGTGTAAGCTCCATCACCACTGAGTCGAGGGTCCGATCGCAAGTGTTCCTTCCTCCATAGACCCTTCAGGTGCTCGTCCAGACGCCGTTTGAAAGCAGCGTCTGTCTTCTCTTCCACCACAATCGCTGGAAGGGAATTCCAGAGTCTCGTTGACATACGCAAGTGTCGGTAGACTAACGGAAGACCAATTGACTGAAGTTTCCGCAACGTGAGAGAGTACCCCCGCATGAGGTGCTTTGTCGGTAAAGGGAAGTACTGTTGCAGCTCCGGACCCATATCACCTCTCATGATCTTCCTCAGGCAGATGAGATCTCCCTCGAGGCGTCGATAAGTAATTGGGAACAGACTAGTAGCCTGTAGACGACCTTCATAGCTGGTACCGTGTAGTCTAACAACGAGTCTAGTGGCAGCACGGGCATGGGAGCGTAGAGCAAACTGAATGCTGGTTGAAAGACCGCCGAATAGGCGCCAGAATGCTCCATGCGCTAGCACAAACACAATTGGTGTTTTTTCTGGTCTTTAGTGATGACGCAACCATGACACCCAGGTCTCGTTCGCACGATGTTCTGCGCAGTGTGATTCCCCGGAAGTTGTAGACTACTTCTGCGCCAGCATGCCTCAAGTGCAGGTGAGCACACTTTGCTGTGTTGACTGGAAGAGCCCAGGTATCCGCCCACTGAGCTTGGTTGTTCAAATCCGCTTGAAGATAACTTCGATCATTTGGATCCTTGATTGTACGCCAGACTTTGATGTCATCCGCATACATTAGGGATGGACTGCAGAGTTTACCGGGCAGGTCGTTCACATATACCAAGAAGAGCAACGGACCAAGCACCGAGCCTTGGGGACCCCACTGGTAGCGGAATACCACGCAGAGAGCGATTTGCTAATACGGACACAGAGTTTCCGGTCGATGAGGAAGTTTCGCAGCCAAGTCCGCATGACCACACCTACATCTAGGTTGGACAGCTTTCGTAGAAGGAGGTCGTGCGGCACCTTATCGAAGACCTTGCTGAAGTCCACGAAGATGAGGTCCGTTTCGTGTCTTTTGGCTTTGTCCTCTGTCCGGCATTCACGTGCACGTAGCTAATTTGAGAGGCATGAGCGACCCGGCCGGAAACCGTGTTGTTGGTGGCACAGGTGATCGTGGCACACCAAATGCTGCCGAAGCCGTGCAGCCACCAGTCGCTCCATTACTTTACCCACAACGCTGGTAAGGCTGACTGGTCGATAGTTCCCAAGGTCACTCCTATCCCCAACTTTGGGCTGTGTAACAATGACAGCATCCTTCCACTGCCGCGGTAAACGCCCTTGAGTGAATGACAAACTGAAAAAGTTGCACAGTGGAGCTGCAAGTTCATCTGCCAGCTCCTTCAGGATCAGCGGATGCACACCATCAGGTCCAGATGACTGGTGAACCTTTAGTCGACGCAGCTTCTGGGCCACCCCTCCGATTGTAAATGGGGTCTGGTTCAGCGCAGTGTCAGTGTCCAGTATTTGTGCGAGTGTGCTGGAGGCTGGGGTGTACACTGAGGCATAATGTGGTGCCAGCATCTCCGCTTTGACCTCATCTTTTTCGGCTAGTGCCCCATCTTTGACGAGAGTCGGGAGACAAGGCGTTGCTCTGATTCTTCGCCTGAGGTAGACATATCATTATTTTGGTGCTTGTACTGAATCCGCTGATTGTTGTTCCTCGAATCTGGTTCTCCTGCACCTTTTTAGTGCAGTACATTGATTCCGAATACATCGATATTTCTCATATCCTGCGGTTGTTGCACGGTACCTGGACCAGGCTTTATTCCGCCGCCGGAGGCACGCCAGCAGTTCTCAGTCAAAACACGGCGGGCCCATAGCATGTGTTTGGTGGCGGTGAGGTGAAGAGAATTGCAGTACGAGTTGCTGGATTCTATAAAGAACCAACTCTAAGGATACATCCACATCCTCAGGGTTCCGGGAATCCCCATTTGTGAGCGATGCAGCCTGACGCATACCCGGAAATGATGGGCACCACACATGCCGTCCGTCCTGTGGTCTGTCCGTTTTGGGTACGCCACACTTCCAGTGTATACGCAGAACGGAGTGATCCCTAGATGCAGTTGGTGGAAGGAGGTCACTCCTAGTCGTATCTGATTGCCTCGGCGAAAATACCAGGTCATGGATGGATCTTTAATCCCTATTTATTCGCGTGGGCACATGGACATGCTGAACATGTGAAAGGGCCCGGACAGGGAAAAGAAGTTCTCTGGAAAACAAATCTACTGTTGAGAGCAGATGTCAGTTTCCCAATCAGCATGGGGCGCGTTGAAATCACCCAAGACAAGACAATGCCCATCGCAGGCGTACCTCTGTATGCTGGCCAGCAGCTCTGGGACGTACACAGCTGGTGTGCGGCAAATCACTCCAACTGGGGTATACCCTCCGGCTTCTCCAAATACTTCCGGATGGGCGTAATTCTCCAGCACTCGAACAGGGAGACCCGAGCGGACAAAAAGAACATGCCCACCACAGCGACGTGACGTTGATCGATCCATCAACAACAGAAGACATATGTGGGCAGAATTGATATTGGCCATCTATTTCGCATGCTCTCATTCAACTGTAAACGCACATTTATATGTTCATGTGAAACGAAAATGCATAAGATTTGAAATGAGTCATTTGAACAAAGTGTTGGACAAGTGAGTCAATTGATTTGTGTTTGGTTACGGTCAAGTAAGATGAGAAAATTTGATATGGGGTGAACTGGACTAAACGATGTGGTGAATGTGGTGAACTAGGGACGGGGAGGGAAGGTCATGTCACGTCATGCTATGGTAGGGTGGTATCAAGTGTGATATCATCACTACCATGGCAAAAACAGTTGCGTCACAAATGTCTTTTGAACAGAATTGCGGTTTCAAGCGATGAATAATTATCGCTTATAAGAATCGCAAAGTCCGTGAACTTCGAGGCCTCACAATGACTCGAAACGCTTTGAGTGAGTCTACGTGGTGACCGGAGTCTAACAATAACGGGCAATCGCACTAGATGGTAATTTCCCTCCGCGAAGACCAAGTTGTTTCGGAATATGTTCACACATTTCCCTTGTTCGCCGAGCTTGGCAATTTGTTTGCAAACGTTTCATCACCAGCCAAGGTGAGGTCATCAGTGCTTGTGAAGTGGCAGTGTTCTGCCTGTACCCGTTCGTTTATATATGCGTTCTTCTCCACCGAATATTTTCGTTCCTGTTCTCACTGTGTTCGACTCGGTCCGCCATTGAACTGTTGCGAGCGGGTGGGGGTGGAGAGGAGGAAGGTGTCCTTTCGTCACGACTACGGTTTCCGTCCGTTCTCAGGTCACACCTTTGTTGCGTCATTTGGTCCTTCAGTTGCATTGGCGTGTACACGTGATCCAGTTCGATGTGCCTGTTGAGTGAGTTGATTGGGGAGTGCCAAGCTTCGAGAAATTCTCTGGCGTGTTTTGACCGGGCTTGATCGACGATTCTCATTGATTCAAAGTCAAATTGATATTCTTGTTGATCTTCGTGGATATAGATCAACGATAGTGGGTCATGTCTCCTGACTGTCAATTGGTGTTCACGGATTCTTGTTGACAGTTTTCTCCCTGTTTGTCCGATATAGTGTTTTGAGTAGTTCTTGCAATTGATTTTGTAAATGAAGCTGCTCTTATCCTTTTCCATTGTTCTCTCCTTACTTTTTGCCAGAAGTCCCCTTAGACAGGCGACCGGTTTGCGGGTGACTTGGATTCCATATGATCTCAGCCGCCTTGCTGTCATTTCCGAAACGTCCTTGATGTACGGCAGGGTCGTTCTTGTACCCCGATTCTCCGTCTGTTGTTTCCTTCCTTCTTTGAGCCGGAGATCTTTTGATGAATTTGCGGTGGTAACCATTGCGCGCAAACACTTTGAGGAGGTATCTCTCTACTTTCTTGAGTATGTCGGTGCTGCAGTTCGTTTGGATTCTTCCGAATAGAGTTTTAACACAGCATCTTTTGTGACTGTGTGGATGATTACTTTTTAAGTTTAGGGTTTGATCCGTATGTGTTGCCTCGCAAATGGTAGCTGGTTCCGTTGGTGGGTTTGGTGGGTGCTCAGTCATCATTGCCCGCAACGTGGATCTTGCCAGATCCAAGTCGATTGAAAGGAACAAAGCGGTGACGTCGAACGAGACCATTATTTCGTCTTGTTGGGTGTTGACAGTTTTGAGCTTGTCCAGGAACTGTCTTGAGTTCATGACGCTATACTCGTGTTCAGCGATGAGCGGCTTCAATTGGTTACCTAATTTTTTTGGCAACTTGTGCGTGGCTGTTCCTGGAAGGGAGACCATCGGCCTCAGGGGAATGCCTTCTTTGTCTATAGATCTGTGAGATAACGGGGTTTTTGGCTCTCATCCTCCAGTGTTGCGCTTTAGTTATTTGACGCAGTTTTTCCAGTCGTTTCAATGTGGTATTGATTTTATTTTCCAGTTTTTTGGTGGGGTCCGTGTCAATTCTGCGGTAGGTTCCTGTGTCTTGGAGTTGTTCTCTAGCCTTTTGAATGTAGTCAGTTTTGTCCATAACCACAGTAATTCGTCCTTTACGTCCGGGTAGGATGACGGTATTTTAGTCCATCTTCAGTGTTTTGAGTGCTTCGTCCTCGCGGTGCGATCGCATGTTGGACTGTCCCTTTTCGCATCCGGCCTGGGACGATTGTTTGTTGGATGATTTGTTTCACATTCTCAGGTATCGTGGACGATTTGTGAGTTTGTTACAGTTCCGCCAAGTATTCCTGGTTTGAGGCATTTCCGACGTTGAAGTTACGTCCTTTATTGAGGATTCATTTTTCATCCTGTGTGATCATGTGATTGGAGAGATTGCGGACCCATTTTCCATTTTCATCGATTAGCACATGATCATCCAACTTGTGGAGCTTTCTTGAGAGTTACCAGTTTTATTTTTATTTTGACATTTTTGACGCGTCGACTTATTGCATCTTCCAGCTATTCTATCTGTCGTTCGTTCAATATAGTTCGACAGTTCTCCTGTTCTTGTATAAGCTCCTTGTACTAGATAAGACTTCTGTGATCATCCGAGATCATCTTGCGTACCATGCATCTTCCGAATTGGTGTGAAATCCTCCAGGCCTCCGGGTCTTTAATCCAGTAAAGGGATCATTTGCTCAATGTGAGTATTTTATGAAACAGATTTATTCGAGAAAGCTTGTGAAACTACACAAGAAACGGTTTGTTTAAACGATAATCACATAGACACAAATTTGTACAGACGCATGGCCGACTGTGATCAAACCAATAACTTCGAATGCAACTATTAAAACTTTCGCTGAGTTTTACTTATCACTGTCGATGCTTAATGAAATTAACCTTATCTGTCGACTGTATTCGCCATCGGTAATTTACACATTAGTGCCTTCTTCAATCTTTAACGCCTGTGCACTTTATTTAACATATGCATATATATATATATATATATGCATATCTAAATATAAGCAAACTCTTATCGGCGCGGTCGTTTTCATACAGTAATCCGATACGACTCTGTCGTAATCATAGTTTCAATGGCTCGATCCGCTCACCAGGAAAAAGGATTAGTATCCGATTGGAACGTGAATTATGTTGTTTGTAGTTCATAATTCATTTTGCTCCTATAGACACGGAACTCTTGCACCGAGAAGAGCAGATACCGAATTCTGTGGTATTATTGAGATGCACGTATGCTACTCTTTGTGAGCCTTCTTTTCTGCACGGTCCTTAAACCTTCCTGTTTACTCTACCATTTACACACTACTCAATAGTAGTTATATTGTAAACCTAAACGTTTTCAGCAGAACAATGCGTTCAAGTCGATTAGGGTTATCTACCGTGTTAATCATTTTGGTGAATTCATTCTAATTAAACTATATTTGACTAGAGTACCCCGCTAAAGGTTATAACATTTGGTCGACGAGT